TACGAGCCTCATCTGCCCGAGGGTTCGAACTCGAGGCTTTTCGGTTTAGCAACCATGAGCTTTACCGACTCGACCACGCCAACCCCTTATGGTCAAACAAACGTACTGACATATGCTCAAACAAATGTACTGACATATGATCAAACAGATGTGCTGACATATTTGCGCGGTATAGCAAATCTGTTATTTAGTTAACCATACAAGTATTACTTCTTTGACTATACTGTTGGCATGCTTTTTTTACTTTCTTGTATATACGAAGTATAGAGAAAGTCTTATAATCGTGCAAAAAAAATCGAGATTTTTGCAAATCTCGACGTTTTAGGGCTCCCTGAGTCGGAAAAACATAGTTTTGCAATCTTGTCCGTATGTCTGCGTGTCTGTGTGTGTGTCTGTAAACACGATAACTTGAGTACCGTTACAGCAAGGTTGATAAAATTTCATATATAAGTATTATATCAAAATCATATATCCGTATCAACTTTTGAGCGATTTCCAATAACTGAAGTGGAACTTTTTCTACTTTGAATTCTTCAAAAGCCTATAACTTGAGTACTATTTTAGATAGATAAATGAAATTTCACTTGTAAGTAAAAGATACAATTCTCTGCCATCTATTAAGTTTTGAGTAATTTCCATCGATCGGAAGTAGTAATTTACCCTATTTCCGATTTCTCAAAAATACGCATGTGAATTTATAAAATACTAATAATATTCCGCACTATTGTGCACTTTTTATTTGGCGTTCACTTAGTGTAAAATTCTTTTTTTCTACGAGATTCTATTCTATTATAAAAAGTTTAAGTAATTAAAAATGGATTAAAAGCATTGTCTATGTCCTGAGTTGCCATCACCCGTAGTGTTATATAAGAATATTCGAGAAAGTTTAGGGTAGATCACTCCCAGTTTATTTAAAATAAATATTCAAAGAGATGTTTACTTATATAACTAATTTAAAATCAACACAATATACATTCGAATAGAAACTGTCAAGGGAGACTACTCTAATATTTGTAGGATTAATAGTTTTTATTAAGAGTTTGTTATTATTAGAAGAAAAGTTAATTATGTAGGTTATATAAAAGATTACTTTGCATTTATTCGATAGGTTTAGAATGAGAAATAATTAAAACTATTTAGTATATTCATAAGTTTTTTTCCATATAATATAATAGAAAACCTGTTCTAATTACTTTTTTAAAATCTTATTTTAATTAATAAATCATAAATGAAGATAGAGGTCCTATATTTTTTTTAAAAAATAGTTTCACTGTCCCTGAATAAATTCAAATGCATGAAATATAGCGTAAATTACTACTTGTGGTCAACGGAAATTACTCATGTTTTGTCAAAAGGCAGAGAATTAGATCTTTTACTTACACGTGAAATTTCATTTATCTATCTGAAATAGTACTCAAGTAATAGGATTTTGAAAAAATTAAAGTAGAATAAGTGTCACTTCCGGTTACCGGAAATCGCTGATACAGAACTACAAATTTGATATAATACATATATCTGAAATTTCATCAACCAAGCTGTAACGGTACTCAAGTTATCGTGTTCACAGTCATCTAATTATCTCCCTTCTTTCAAATTTTGAATAATTTCAGTTGGCCTGAAGTAGGACTTTAAGCTATTTCCGACCCGCTGCGTATCATACGCCGCTATTTAGTTGTTTTTTTTCTACTTTTCAGTAATTTATAATTTGTTAATTCGACAGTACCAATGCTGCCACTGAAAATATTTGCTTAAAAACACTAAACCCCCCTTCCCCCCCCCCCCCCGGGTGAAAGCAGCCTCCTCTTAGTTACCTCCTCTAAGTTTAAAATCGTTTCAAACTAAATTATCTGCCCCTAATAGCCGTCACCAAACCCGTCTCTATGATTGAAAAATGTAAACAGCGTGAACCACAGCTCACCATACCATGTGAGGGGGTGGGGGGGTGGGGGTGGTAGCGATAGAGAGGAAGAGAGGGGATCGTAAGGCGCGCTTGCAGCTTGTTTTCTAACGGCTCCCAGAAGAGAATTATATAAATAGACTAGTATTCCGAACTATTATACATATGGTTTGCCGTTCACTTGGTGTGCAAATCTTTTTTCATATTATTTTTAAAAATTTTCAAGTATGTAAAAACTGATTAAAAAACATGTCTATATCCCGAACTTTCTTCTATCCCCGCGGCAACGCGCGGGGGACGGGTACGCTAGTATATATATATATATATATATATATATATATATATATATCAGGTTGGAATTCTGAAACATAATTAATACTGTTTTTAATCCTGTCAAAGGCAGAGTTGGCGTCTAGTGGTGACGCGGATTATTGACAGGTCTACGTAGACGTATCTTTGAGATAAAATACTCTAATTAAAATTGTCAAACAGTGTATCATTCGTTTTATTAAATTAAATTCCTGTTCAATCAATAATCGTAAACCTGAACTAATTACTAACCAGCATCTAAACTAGATCCATGGATCAGTGTTATTAATGCAATTTTCAATTACATACCCTCACGAGTTTCACCAGGTTATTAAAGAAAAACAATCCTTGCTTAAGCATTGCATTGAGAACAATGATACGTGGACTGGATAGTTCTTTGTTGTTCTGTCTGGCACAGGCAACAATGATTAACAAAATTAATTTTGTCTCGGAAAACACATACAAACTCAAATACAGACTCAAACACAAAAACATTAAAACAAAAACATTATAACATACACACTCGCAAAGACATAAAAAAAAACACTCGAAAATACACACTCCTAACTTACCCAAACTCAAACCACAACCCCTGCAATAAACGCCGACATTTACAAACATTTTTCCCACACGCCTCAACTAGATAATCTCAACAAACATGTATCTTTGAACGTGAATTACAGTGTACTCCCATACGTACCTGTAAATATACACAAACATACATAAACATACGTCTAAACTGATAATAATAATCATTAAAAAAGTTTTAAAAAACCCACGTTTTCTGATTGAACTAAAAAGTAGAAAATAAATGCTATACATCACAATAATGCAAGCGATCACTCTACTATAAGCTATCAAAAACGTGGGTCGCCGAAGTAAAAGTTATATTACTATTGATTAGATAATACTATTGACTTTTATTAGGGAGCTTGTAGAGAGTCAACAGTATTAGAAACTGTAAGAAAATCACAGCGCCCCACGTTTTTGATAGCTTATAGTAGAGTGATCGCTTGCATTATTGTGATGTATAGTATTTATTTTCTACTTTTTAGTTCAATCAGAAAACGTGGGTTTTTTAAAACTTTTTTAATGATTATTATTTTCTACTTTTTAGTGTTTGTCTGTTTGTTTGCATGTAAATCTTGCTATCGATTTTATCTTTTCACTTTTTTTTTGGGTAAACGAAGACAACTCGTAAAAAGACAACTCGTAAAAAGACAACTCGTAAAAAACACGTTGTGTGAATACGTTACTGACTAGAACACATAGATTTGAACCCGTGTCGAGTGGGATAGCAATCGTGTGCCCAACCACTCGACCATATCGTCTCCCCCATACTGGCCACCAGTTGTTACGTTATGGTTGTTTGTACACAAACACAGCGTGACAACTACTCAGTAAGCAAAAAGAGGGGGAGTGCCGAACCTTGTTTTCATCAAATTACAGTTACTGGGTAATGTCCCTTTTCCCCCACGTTTTTTTGGTACAATTATATAGCGGTCTAAAATGATCAATAAAATGTTTCCATGGATTAATTTAGTAATAAAAACAATAGAATATTCAATTGTCATCCAAAACAAAGCTTCCCTGAAAATTTCAGCGCGCTAGCTAACTGGGAAGTGCCAGAAATTTCGATCGCAAGATTGGATTGGAAAGACAAACACAGAAACACAGACACAGAGAAAGCAAGTTAAAGAAAACGTGGGAAAAACGCCATTGCCTATGACCAAACGTACACCTTATCCGATAATTACACACACACACACTCGTACGCACACGGGACGGAGTGGTCTAGCGGTAGAGAGCTGTACTGCTAACCCGTAAGTCTCGAGTTCGAATCCGTGTAGACCGTCCCTGAGTCCACTCTGATGGGTACCTAACTCACGTTAGGGAAAGTGAAGGCGGCTGGGCATAGTGCTGACCACACTATCTCTCCATATACCGAGGTCAAAGAAACAAGTGAACTCTACTTCACTTGCCCCATAGACCGTCAGGTTTGAAAGGGAAACTTTTTTTACACACCCACGCACACGTACACGCGCGCTTGCACGCACGCACGCATACATACACACACATGATGTCTGAATAAGTAAGCTACAACATAAGAGGTTAGTTGGTGTGTTGGTTTGATCTGTCAATTGCACGTGGCAACACTTTGTGAGCGATGAGGAGGTGATATTTTATTCTCATTATATTTCACATCTGCGACAAAGGTATGGGTGTAGAGCGGTTTACGTATAATATTCAAAGGTATTCAAGGTGTCGACTTGATCGAACATATGGTTGCTAAACCGAAAAATCTCGAGTTCGAACCCTCAGGCAGAAGTTGCTCGATTGCTGGGGACAGCAGCTCTCCTCGGCGAGACAACTACAAAAGCAAACAACTACTGTCTTGTAGTTTGTTTTTGGTCAAACAAAAAAAAATCCAAAAAGAAAAGCAGGCTGAAATCGGAGTCTACGGCCTAAACGGCTACGGCTACAGCTTCGGCTACGGCTACTATGGTGGCTATGGCGGCTAGGGCGGCTAGGGCGGCTATGGCGGCTATGGCGGCTAGGGCGGCTAGGGCGGCTATGGCGGCTAGGGCGGCTAGGGCGGCTAGGGCGGCTATGGCGGCTATGGCGGCTATGGCGGCTAGGGCGGCTATGGCGGCTATAACTACTATGGCTGCTATTGCTACTATGGCTACTATGGCAAAAGCAAATTGCACTACACACCAAACACACACACTACACAGTTTTATCAAATCCACATACATTTTCATAGTAAAACGACAAAAAATGGTAATAAAGAAAAAATCTGCAGTTTATTTTCTTTAATATGGTGTACATCTTTGATTTTGAATAAAGTTAATTTTCGATACACTATTAATTCTTCTACACATACAACGCAACCTTTCAGGACATCTTTGAGAACATCTAGAATATACAAAGAACATTGCAGAAAAATTAATATAGAATTTAAACATGTAATTTCATAAAATGTTTCATAAGGAGACTTTTATAATTTAAAGTTAAAGTTACGCTCATAATTTTTTAATACAATTTTTTTTGTCGTAATGGGGTTCTTGCACTTTTGGATTCGTTTTCTATTCGTTATTTAGAAAATAACAGAATTAGAGTTTCAAAATGTTTTTAAAAAGAAAATTTGGTGACCGTATATAGGAATTTTAAAAAAAATTTAATTATTTTACTATCTTACTAGCTCGCCACGAAATGTTTGTCATTCGCAATCATATTGCATTTAGCATCATTGGAAAGCTGGATTTCTCCAGTATTTGCAAATCGTATTTTACGTTAGCTTAGTAACACCGAAATCCTTCTATTGGCTTTTCAAATTACACTGAAATTACAGAAATGGTATTTACCTGACCTAATTTGTTTTTGTATTTTCCGTTTTTCTTAGTTTATAGTTTTAAAATTATAATACTAAAAGCCTACTACTTTTTCTATTACTAATAATGCTTTTTTTCTTCTTCTTCTTCTTCGTTCTTAATTATTAGTGTTGAAGGGGATCGAGTTTTATATGCCAGTGGGTTTGAACTCGAGACTTTGTTCGAATTTATCAACCATGAGCTTTTTGCCGACTCGACCACGCCTCCAACACAATTAAGCGTTACGTGTCAACTGGTTATGCGCCATTGAGGCCATTGACTCCGATTTCAGCCTGCTTTTCTTTTTGGATTTGCTTCCATAGCCTTTGTCCAACCAAGAACAAACTACAAGGCAGCAGTTGTTTAATTTTTGAGTTGTCTCTCCTAGAAGAGTGGCTGTCCCCAGCTAACGAGCCTCATCTGCCCGAGGGTTCGAACTCGAGACTTTTCGGTTTAGCAACCATGAGCTTTACCGACTCGACCACGCCGACCCCTACTAATAATGCAATTCCCACAATATTTTCGATATTTATTCTTCATGCAACAATAAAACTTTAGCCACAAGGAAATTGTAATAGTTTAATAAAAAAAAATTTTGTTAGTAAAATAGTTATCAAATTTTTCATAATTGGTATGCAATTTGTTGTACATTGTAAAATTCATACCAGTAGATCTATCAAAAATGTGTCGAAATAAAATAATTAACATATACTGAAATTTAAGAAATGTAAATATGCGTCTTTTAAATGCACACTTAAAAGATTTCAAAGAAGCGTTTTTTTTTAATCGACGAATAATTCAAAATTTCTGTTATTTTTTCAAAATTGTTTGCAAATCTAGTTTTGCTGATTAGCACTTACTTGCATGTGATAACCAGCGGAATTTTATTTAAAAGGCTTCAGATGTTAAGTTCTTAAAATAGAAAAAAGGAGCATATCCCCTAAAACAAAAAGTATTTGTGTGGATAGATGTATGAGTAGATAGACGGATAAATGCGGATATATGAATGGGCGATAGGAAGAATGGAAGGATGCGCAGCAGGACGGATAAGCTTATATAATACTAATATAGATAACTATTAAAACCATTTTAAGAATAAAACTGCGTGTATTAGTAAATATACACGCACGTATGGTTTCTGTTACAGCAGGGACTTGTCGAACTACATAATACAAAACAATAATTAAATGCAGTGGCGTAGCGAGGTCGGGTGTCACCCGGTGCGGCACTTAATGGTGTCACCCCCTCAGAGGCGTAGCGACTCTTCCCAGGGACAAACTTTCAATCTTCGATTTGCACCCCCCCCCCTTCAACTTTTTCTCTATATGTTTTACTATTTTTTGCCTTGGTGTCACCCCCCTAAATGGTGTCACCCGGTGCTGTCCGCACCCCCCGCCCCCCCCCCCCCTCGCTACGCCTCTGCTTTAATGCCATCGAATTTATAGTAACCACTTTGTTACATTGAGATTATGAAAATAAAAAAGTATCATTACGTCGTTTGTCCTGCAGTAGTTGAGGTGAGTTCAAATTTCAGGAGAGCGTTGCTCAGCAATACAATTAGTAGGAAGTTTTTCATTTCGACGCAGTTCTTTTACCTAATAAAAAATTAGCAAATTGATATAATATATAAATAAAAACTGCTTTTTAATTTTAAAAACTAATATTAAGCACCCATCCATCCATCCTGGTCTTTTGGAAAAAAAGTAGCCTAAGTACCTCAACAATTTGTTTGGAAAATAGTCATTGTTTTTTACATTACCAATGTATATATAAGGAATTCGGACTGTTCACTTCTAAAAGCCATCCAGAGTTTTCCCGAAGATAGCGCCTATTTTTTGTGACCTCCCGGATAGTTCTTGGCCTTTTTTCATGCGTTATGATGGTTTTGTACGTGGGACACTTTTTTGATATAACTCATATAACGCGAAGGTCAGTCGACGTTAGTTTTGACCCCCCCCCCTCTTTTTAACTGCATTCTTTACTATTCTTTTTTTTAAATCACTATTTAACGTAAGCTATATTTCTCTATAAGTTAGCATACATTTTGTAATCTATCTTTATCATTGTTTAGGATTTTAAATAACTGAACAAAGCGAAAGCATTTTTTTTTACTTTTCTAATGTTTTATTTTATTTTTACTTTCTCGTATACGAAATATAGAGAAAGTATTGTAATCGTGCAAAAAAATCGATATTTGTTTGCAAATCTCGACGTTTTACACCTCCGTAAACACGATAAATTGAGTACCGTTATAGTTAGGTTGAGGAAATTTCATATATATATAAGTATTATATCAAATTTGTACATCTGTATCAACTTTTCAGCTATTTCCGATAATCGGAAGTGGAACTTTTTCAACTTTGAATTTTTCAAAACCTATAACTTGAGTACTATTTCAGATAGCTAAATGAAATTTCACACTAATACTCTGCCTTCTTTCAAATTTTTAGTAACTTCCGTTGACCGGAAGTAGCAATTTTTGCTATTTTCGATTTCTCAAAAAAAAAGTTCGAATTTATAAAGTACTAATAATATTCCGCAATATTATACACATTTTATTTGGCGTTCAGTTGGTGTGCAATTCTTTTGTCTAAGAGATTCAATTCTCTTTTAAAAAGTTTAAGCAATTAAAAATGGATTTAAAATATTGTCTATACCCCGAGTCAATCCTATAAAACGAAGAAAGATTTTAATCATCTAATTATTATTGGTCCATAATGTTTTGCTAGTGGGTAAATGTGTCGGACGGTAGAGCATACGATTCCTAATTCTAAAATCACGAGTTCGTATAGCGAGTTATAAAACTCCATTATACTCACGTCTACTTTGTCGAGAGAGTTGAAACATAAGCACAACCAGCACAACACTAAACAGTTTGTGAACCATCTTAACTCTGTTGTGGTATTTTTTTTTTTGCTTATTTTTAAGATTTTACTTTTAAGTACAAGCCCTAATTACGCGCCGCGTTTGTACTAGATATAAAAAAAGGTCACGGTGCGGGGGAGGGAGAGGAGGAGTAGATCCGTTTATTAATTATCCGATTCAACGCAACACGTTTTCTTAACATGGTGTTATCAATAAAACATAGTGACTCGTCTAGGAGCAAGTGACGAAGACATAGTTGATTCAATACATGCATAATAACTTAATGAGGTTTTAATTTTTCACATCTATTTCCGATTGCAAATGCAGAAACATCTTCAATACTCATATGGGCGGTAGCTGGGTGTTACCCCTGTTAATTACCCCCGGTCATGTCCCCGCCCTCCTTTTTTTTAAAGCTAATATGTGATACGTTATTCAACCTTATGTTACTCAACAGCAAAACTATATTTAGTATGCATCATATATAAATAATGTAAGTCGAAATAAAAAAGAAGAAAAAAAACTTGCGTTGTGTCTTTATGTTTATTTTAAAATCATCTGTATCTATATCTATATATATATATATATATATAATTCTCTTCTGGGAGACGTTAGAAAACAAGCTGCAAGCGCGCCTTGCAGTCCCCTCTCTTCCTCTCTATCACTACCACCCCCACCCACCACATGGTCTGGTGAGCTGTGGTCACGCTAAATGTTTACAATCATAGAGCCGGGTTTAGTGACGGCTATTAGGGGCAGATAATTTAGTTAGAAACGATTTAAAACTTAGAGAAGGTAACTAAGAGGAGGCTACTTTCACGGGGGGGTGTGTAGGGTAGGGGTTGGGGGAAAGGGGGGGGGGGGTCGTGTTTTAAAGCAAATATTTTCAGCGGCAGCATTTGTACTGTCGAATTCACAAATTATGAATTACTGAAAAGTTGAAAATAAAACAACTAAATAGCGGCGTGTAGTAGATAATATGACAGTAACATTCGTATGCGCTTTTTTATATTTGTCAGTACGATCAATACATGACAGCGTCGTACACATACATTGAAATGAACATATGACACTGGAAACTTTCTTCCTGCCTAATTGTCCCCGCAAGTTTCCCTTTCTCTAAAGTTGTTTTTATTTCCTAAACAACCGCCGAAGATAAATAAATCACATCTTCCAGATGATGGGTTGAAGTAGTATCTGAGGAAGTAGCCATGACATGGGCCCTTATCTGGATTTAACTGACAGTCCGACGCTGGTGTTAAAAAAAAAAGTTCATATTACTTCATTTTATTTAGTAAATGTTAACAAAATAGTTCATATTACTGCATCTTACTTAGTAAATGTTAAGAAAAGAGTTCATATTTCTGCATTTTACATAGTACGTTTGGGAAAACTTTTATTTGGTAAATGTTAACAAAGAAGTTCATATTTCTGCATTTTATTTAGTAAGTGTAAAATAGGAAATTCACATTACAGCTTTTTCTTAGCGCTTGATATTCAATAATTATTTGGTGGAGGTGAAGTTTGTTAGACTATTTTTTCTTTTATATAGTTTAAAATTTCTATACGGTCTAAATTAAAGTTTGTAGTCATTAAAATAATAACAATGAGATTTCCGAGTGATATTAAATAGAAACTTATATGAGTTACTGTAGCTAAACAATAAAACTACTAAAAAATTAATTAAGAGTTACGGTTTTTACTGTTACAAAGTACGAAATTAGGGTATACCTTACAGATCTTTAAAAATATAAAAAGTATGAATAGGACTTTTATTTCATACGACTGCTAACCCGAATGTCTCGAGTTCGAATCCAGGTTCAAGTCCGTAGAACGTCTTAGATTCTACCCAGCTCTGAAGAGTACCTGACTCATTCTAGGTAAAGGCTGGGCATAGTGCTGACCCCACTATTCCACAGAAACATTTGAACTCTACTTCACTTGTCCCGTGTACAGTCAGGTTCGAAAGGAAATTTTACTTACTTTATTTCATCAGTTCTTTTTTTGCAATATTTTTTTCTTTAATGTAAATCAAGTAAGAAATAATATTAAATGTACAATTTTGTAGATCCGTTAATGGTACGTTAATAATTTCAAATATTTTCATATTTAACTCCACACAATTTTAGGAACCTTATTTTTATTTGAAAAGATTATCTGCAGTATTGTAGATAGGTTTTATAGAGGCAGACCAATCATGTCCGGCAGATGCAACAAGGACAAGATAGGCACTGCAGATGGTTGTTAAAACTATCTATAGATCGAAATACATGAAAAGTTATTGTGCGAATTATGTCAAAATGGGAATAGATGAAACTTAAACCTAGTTAATATGTTTTTATTTTTTACATGAAACAATCAAGGAAATAGAATTAAACCAGATACTTGTATTTTAATAACGACGTAGATTTACTATAAAAAACATGTACACGCGAAAGGATGTATAAATTAAATTTAGATAAAAAAATATAATATAGATTTTATATGAAAAAATTGAAGAAAAAATACTTGAACCATACATTCTAATTAACACGTTGATTTATCAAAGTACGTATGAGATTCAAAAATGATACAATTAAAACACAATTTTAAGTCAGCTGATGAAAATATTCGAAATGTTATGTTTAAAATATTTCAGTGATACTGCGATACTTACGGCGATCCCCCGCTGAAAGTTGGATGATGAACGCAATAAGTAAAACACAAACCGCCTTAGACAACATTTTATAAAAGTTGTTTCTTGTGTAATCTGTCCTTCGCAAAGTAATTTTATAATTAAGAGCAGCATTTTAGTGAGTTAATTAAAACTGGTTTTTTTTTTAACAACAAGCTCGCTTATTGGAAAGCTTTATAAAAAGAAATCATAGTGTCGTGGGTGGATATATATTACAAACAACATTTCGCCTAAATTATTTTGAATACAAGATAAAAATCTATACCCTAAAATGTTTACTTGGTAGTAAATATATATATATATATATATATATATATATATATATATATATATATATATATATATATACATATATATATATAAGCCATCATGATACATAATCTTGTGTATAATATAACCAACTACAAATACAGCTTAATATGCAAAATAGATCAATAGTTTTGAAACAATAACTGGTCTATTAATTTGTTATTGTTCTTTTATAATATATTTTTTTTAAATGAGTGTTAACTGCTGATGCTCACAGATGTGTATTAACAGACGCAACAAAATAATAACTCATCCATTTACCAATATTTCCGATTTGTTGACATCCATTAATTGTATCCAACCCGCCTTAAATAATTACATCATTCTGTCAATGCTTTCTCCCAATCACATAAACTGATACAGAACTTAGCAGTAACGGTAGCGTTTAACAAATATTAGTGGTTTAAAATTTAAAAGATTTAAGTTTTAAGAAATAAATGGGAAAAAAGGTTAATATCTGTCTTTGTGCCAATGATAGCCCTCTACTACTCTACTTTCAGAGTTTCCTCCAGGTATCTCTTCCACCCCCTTTCTCCCGAAAAACGTCTACCGCCCCCCCCCCCTCGAACGAAATAAAATATATAGAGAGAGAGAATATATTCTGTAACTAGTGTCCGCCCCCTACCCCACCAAAATTTTAGTCGCTGAGAGTTATAAGCAAGTTTAGACCTTTCATTTAACAAGCTTTTTTTATCTGATGTAAATCAATAGGTTAAAGGTGAGAAGAGGGGGGAGGTGGTAGTGATCGAAACCTTAAAATCAATATTGTAGGCGGCTTTGTGTTTAATACCTTTGAAATCATAAATCCGGCCCCCACCCCTCTCCCACTCCCACCACCCACTGTACAGATGGACTACTAAGCTACTAATTAAAAGCCTAGCGGTGACCGGCATATAGGTGAGCTTAACGTAATGCTGATTCAACAAAATAAGCTGTTTACTCCGTGCCAATCACATGTGGTTATTGCGGGTCAAGGTAATTACTGCCCTTTCAATTACTCCCCCCACCATGTTATTGTACCACGCCCCACCCCCTAATTACCCCATCATCTCCCTCTCTCTCTTTCTCTCTCTCTCTCTCACACACTCTCTCTCTCCCTCCCTCTTTCTCTCTCTCCGTTAAACATATAATTCATTTTATCGTCTAAGTAATAACACAGCATTCACAGCTAGGGCACTGATATTTATTGCCGTAGATTTCACATTTTATAATACTTTAATAATACCCTCTTTTCGGTTACACCTTTGATTTTTTTGTATTGACATATTCTAACAGAGATCAATTTCAAATTTTGTATATTTTTATAATACCCTCTATTCCGTTTGACCTTGGATTGTTTTATTGACGTAGATATTTATTGTATTTATGTATTTATTTATGCTAAAGAAATAAAACCAATAAACATTCATTTCAATTATATATTATTAAATAATAAAATGTGAAATAAGGAGGAGAAAAACTTGGAGGTATATGTATACGTTTATTTTACAACCATATTGTCAAATATAACCGTAACATTTGTATGCGAAAGTGGAATCTACATATTTGATTGTGACCGCATCACAAATAAATTTACGCTCACATATGAAACTGTTGTCCGTAGTAAACACGGCTAAAAACTTTCTCCTTGTTTGATCTCAAACCCTTGCAATACCTAACATAACATTCATAAAGGGGGAGGGAATGTCTATTCATCTCAAAGGGGTCGGCGTGGTCGAGTCGGTAAAGCTCATGGTTGCGAAACCGAAAAGTCTCGAGTTCGAACCCTCGGGCAGATGAGGCTCGTTAGCTGGGGACAGCCACTCTTCTAGGAGAGACAACTCCAAAATTAAACAACTGCTGCCTTGTAGTTTATTCTTGGTTGGACAAAGGCTATGGAAGCAAATCCAAAAAGAAAAGTAGGCTGAAATCGGAGTCAATGGCCTCAATGGCGCATAACCAGTTGACACGTAACGCTTAATTGTGTTGGAGGCGTGGTCGAGTCGGCAAAAAGCTCATGTTTGATAAATTCGAACAAAGTCTCGAGTTCAAACCCACTGGCAGATAAATCTCGATCCCCTTCAACACTGATAATTAAGAACGAAGAAGAAGAAGAAAGATTCATCTCAAGCAAAATATCCACTCATTTTACCATTCTCGCAGATGTGGGTTGTAAAGTATAGTAAAATTCCCTTTTCAAATCTGACGGTCTATGGGGCAAGTAAAGTAGAGTTCACTTGTTTCTGTGACCTCGGCATATGATGAGATAGTGTGGTCAGCACTATGCCCAGCCGACGTTACTTCCCCTAACGTGAGTTAGGTACCCATCAGAGTTGGGTGTACTCAGGGACGGTCTACTGACTAGAACCCGGATGCAAACTACGGGTTAGCAGTCCAGCTCTCTACCGCTAGACCACTCAGTCCCGTGATGTGGGTTGTAGGACGAAATAAAGTCAACACGCAAAGTTACTATTATTACCGATTTAACGGCACCTATGTATCTGTCCAGTCTTAATGCTGTGATTAACTTTATGCACAAAAATTATCAGATGAAGAACTTAAAGTTAGTGTTTTGAAAACAATGGATCATTATTTAAAAGATATGTTGTCTAGTATCAGTTAGATGTCTTGTTGGCAATAAGACAACACTATAGACAAGTGGCTTTTGACAAAAACCTTCGTTGGTGTCTCTGACAGAGTTCTACCACTCGATCACTTTATTACTTCCTTAAGTGATTAGCAACTGTTTGAACCAGACAGCCAGACTAACTTTGAGAGCTATAAAAATAAAGGAGAGAACTTTCGATCTGATGTTAAATCGAAAGGTTCATGGCGAAGTAGTAGACTGGATGTTGAGACTATGAATCTATCCGGCTCACATCATCGACCGTACTGACAGGCTACTAAGAGCCTAGCTGTAGCATTATCCAAACGCTGTTATGGGAGCAAAAAAATTTAACGCTGATGCGACAAAAATATCCAACGCGTGTGAGGGTATATGTTGGGGTTTAGGTCATCGAATTTATCGCCCTTTTAATTAATCCTCCTCCCCCCCCCCCCCCCCTCCTCACATCCATGTTATTTCCTCTTATGTTAAGTACTCATTCTAGAATATCTATAAAACTTTGTATCGTCTAAGTGACAAACCTGGCTTTATACAGAACATGGCATTATAATGATTGCTTAGGCATATCATCTAAAATCTAAAGCATTCCCTTAACCTTGTTAGGGTCGTTGGGGTACCACAGTGTGGTGTGTCTAGGGCTGTGTCCCATGGCGGCGCACACCACTCTCCATGCCTGACCACAGCCGGATGCCTCCATCTTGGTTGCTCGCCTTGGTCACGAACACGTGGCCGATGAAGTTCATCTAGGAACTCTTGCGCCCAGTGTTTCTTCCAGACTTTTTTCTCCGGGGGGGGGGCACTTGAAATTTTTGGGAGGGTGGTACACTTTCTTCGAGGGGGGGGCGGACACTGTTAAAAGTATATATTTTCTATATAAATTATATAAATTCCATTCAGTTCGGGGGAGGGGGGGGGGGCGGTAGAATTTTTTCGGGGGGGGGAGCTTTGCCCCCCCCCCCCCGAAGAGATGCCCGAAGAAACTCTGGTTGCGCCCTGGCCGGTGACCTTTACTGGAAGGTCATACGCACCGGTGATGTCATGTAAGCATCGGTGGTTTAATTTTGGAGTTTTCTCTCCTTAAAGAGTCACTAACTCCAGCTATTGAACCTCATGTGCCAGGGGATGGAACTCGGGATATTTCGTTTTAGCAATTTATTATTATTATTTTTTAAATATGTTTATATAATGAAAGAATAATCATAAAACTAAACTACAGAGTAAATATTTCTTTTTATAAAAATTTAGATCAATAGAGATCAGTTTTTTGTTGTTTTTTTTTGTTTTTTTTTGTTTTTTTTTTATGAACAATAGGCATGAAAAGTCTATGTAATCATACTAAATTTTTGAAAACATCTTTTAAAAATATGGCAAGAGACAAATAAATTATAATTATATGTGTAAAAAATTAAAGCTGTTTGGGAACCATTGATTACACTAATTTTAATATTTTTGTTTCGAATATAAGCCGTTGAAAAGCAGTTTAGAATTATTTTATCAATTCAAATATTTTCAAAAGGTGCTCTCAACCTCTTTTTGAAGTCAACCAGAATGGTCAGGGAGAGTAAAACAGTAAAAGTCAGAAGAATTGTTTTCCTTAATAATAATACACAATAGTGATCTATGGTGTATAAGGTGCTATTGTATTTATATTGAATAATATACCAACTCCTATCACCACAACACCATGACTCTAGTTATCCAAATTAAAAATTAAAGTGTTTGCTAAATTACTATTATATTACTAGTTATTATGTCTTTAACTATTTCTATCCTTAATGAAACCGGAAGTCATTTTGTACTTATTACACAAATGTTATAAAATATTCAATTCTAGTTGAGAAATATGCCTTCTGGCAACAAAAATTTAGAACCATTTATAACCAGCTTTTCAAGTCTATTGTAAAAAAATTGATTATGTAAAGAATGTATATAGAGAAAAACTGAAAGTCAGGTTTACTGCATTTTTATTTCATTACCACATTGTCAAAGATGGCGGCAGCATTTACATTCCAAAGTGTTGTATTTATTTCAGAGTGACTTGACTGCATCAGTTACCAACCGCAAGAGTCGACACAATTTTCCTTTGTATCAAATCTGTTTTTGTTTCCCCCACAGCCCCCATAGTTAAACTCTTCACAGTCGTTTGTGGATGGGTTGTAGTAGAACATGGTCGCGAGGGCTTCACATGGACCAGGGTCTGGCTCCAGTTTACAGTACCTAGCTGGCGACCAGAAAAATAGGAAATCGTGCTACACTTTCATTAGGAATAAATAATTTTAAAATAATGTTTCTGCATGCAATTCATTTTAAGTAAGATTTATTTTTATGCCCAATTGTCCCTCGTTACCTCACCCTTCCCCCAGCGTGACAGATAGGTTACCACAGGGGGCATTTCGTTAACCCTCCATATTGGGCAGAAGAAATCAACAATTTTTCTAGAAGACTTGTCAGTGGCCCAGGTTCTAAGAAAACTTTTAAGTTACCAAATATTTATTTCACTGTAACTTGACTACATCAGTTACCAACCGCAAGTGTAGACACAAGTTTTCTTTGTTTCAAATCTGTTACTGTTTCCCCCACAGCCCCCGTAGATGAACTCTTCACATGCGTTTGTGGACGGGTTGTAATAGAACATGGGCATGTAGGCATCACATAGACCAGGGTCTGGCTCCAGTAGACAGTACTTAGCTGGTGACCAGAAAAATAGGAAATAGTGCTACACTTTCATTAGGAATAAATTTTTAAAAAATTAATTTTCCTGCATGCAATTCATTTTAAATTAGATTTTAAAATATTGTTTATGCCCCATTTGTCCCTCATAACCTCATCCTTCCCACAGCGTGACAGATAGGTTACCACGGGGGGGGGGGCATTTTGTTAACCCTTCATCTGGGGCAGAACACTCTTGGGGAAGATTTTTCTAGAAGACTTGTCGGTGTCCCAAGTTCTAAGTAAACTTTTAAATTACCAAATAATTGGAGTACATGGAGGCATGAAGCCGCATGTCAAGGAAACTGTCATGAGAATTCAATCGAGAAATGGCTTGGGGGACTCAAGGAAACCGTCTTGGGGATTCAATCAAAAATGGCTTGGGGCACTTAAGGAAACTGTCTTGGGGATTAAATCGAGAATGGCATAAAATAACAAAATATTCCAGTACTCACGGCCTCCCAACACTGACGGTTGCATGTTGAGCACAATAAATAAGACACAAATCCACTTGCTCCACATTTTACAACAGTTGTGGCTTATTCAACCTCCAAACATAAAGTAATTTTATAATGAACAGCAGCACTTGGGGGTGTTAATTAAAACGGGTTCATGTACAAAATATTCACTTAATGGCAAGATTTTATTTTTTAAAAGCGTTTAAAAGTAGTTTTCTTTTCTATGCAGCTTAACAGAATATCCACTGAGAAAAACTACGTCTAAATTAGTCAAATAAAATATATATAAATTTATAATTACATAATACAATTATATGATAATATAACATTTTTAAAAAAATGTTAAATGCAAAAGATGAAAATATAATATGATTTTGTTTTCCAAAACCCATAATAAACCCCTAATAAAAACCAACAGTCGTAATGAACAAGGATACGACCCATTTAGTAACAACGTCTGCTTTGGATGATGTTATTATAATTGTTTTTAACAAAATTAATGTAGGCGTATTTGATTTTTATCTTACAACTGTGATGTAAACACAGTTTATCAATATCAATGATAAATTAATCTGGTAACGATTGTTTTATAGAAAAATATGACAAGTCTTATGATAACATGATTTGATCAAATATTTTGTTGGCGTCTCTTTATGACACAATTTATATTGGAATCCAAAGATGATAATTTAAATCAAATTTCCCTAAAGTCTATCGCCCTACTGTTAGGCCAAACCGTCCCATTATCCTTCTATTTACCTATTTGCTGGAAAACGTATCATAGAAATCCTTTATTGCCGCGATCGTTTTATTGCAAGCCCTTTAACCTGGGGCCGCTTCTTGTAAACAAAGATTTTGTTGACGTAATTAATTAAAATAATTAATTACGTATGGTAACAGTTTGACCCAAGCTACCAGAGTAGCCTTCATAGCCATAAATAAGAAGAGAACTTGAGATATAGTTTAACAAAACGTCTGTGCGTTTTTTATAACGTGATCGCTAGTGTAGGCAACATCTCTAGAAATAACTTTGTGAGGAAGGCTACGAGAGCTTAATTTGCTGGTGAAATTCGCTATTATTTAGTAAATAAGTAATAGTTATATTACAGCAGGGTTTAATTATTCATTATATTTATAAGGAACGGCGTGGTAGATGGTAGAGAGTATGCTTGCTAACCCGAAAGTTTCGAGTTAAGTTCGGATCCTGGGCTTATGTTAAGCCCAAGCTCATAACCCTGTACTCATACCCCCATGATTATACACCCATACTCATAGCCTCAAGTTCATAATACATATTCAAAATATGATGTTCTGAACCCTATCTACAAAATTCCTATTTCGTAATCGTTTGGAATCCCCAGGGAAAAGGGAAAGTGACTTTTCACGTTTCTGTGACTTAACCATACGAAGAGATAGCTGGGTCAGTGCTAGGCCAAGCCGCCTTTACTTTCTCTGACATGAGTCAGGCACCCATCAGAGCTTGGTGGACTCAGGGGCGTTTACAGACTTGAACCCGGATTTGAAAACGAGATTTTCTGGTTAACAGTCGTTTGCTCTGCTCTTCCACCCTTACCCTTCCTATAAGAACATGAGATCCCTGAAATTTATATTTTTAATCTTTTTTTTTTACTTTCTCGTAATAGAATATAGAGGAAATATTGTAATCTTGCACAAAAATCCCTTGAAATTTTGAGTTTTCGCCGTTTTACACCTCAAAGATTTGAGGTACTTATTTAAGGCGACTTATTTTAATTGGGAAAAAAATTGCAAATCCAGATTTATCAAAAATGTCGGTGTTTTACGCGTAATCAAGTCTGAAAAACTGGGCTTTGCAGTTTTGTTCCTATGTCTTTGTGGATGTGTGGATTTCTGTGAACACGATAACTTGAGTACCGTTACAGCTCGGTTGATGAAATTTCATACATAACGATTATATCAAATTTGTAGTTCTGTATCAACTTTACTGCGATTTCCGGTAGACGGAAGTGGAACTTATTCTACTTTTGTTATTTCAAAAGCCTATAACTTGAGTACTGTTTCAAACAGATTGACAAAATTTAAAACGTAAGTAAACGACCTAATTCTCTACCTTCTTTCAAATTTTGAGTAATTGACCGGAAATAGTACTTTTCGCTATTTCCGATTTCTCAGAAAGCGCATTTGAATTTATAAATTACTTATATTCCGCATTATATACACAGATTGTTTGCTGTTCACTTGGTGTACAATTGTTTTTTTTCTACAAGATTCTATTCTATTTTTAAAAGTTTAAGTATGTAAAAACTGATCAAAAATCATGTCTTTATCCCGCGTTGCCATCCCCGTAGTGTTATCTAAGAATATTCGAGAAAGTTTAGAAGAGATCGCTCTCGCTTTAATGGCTAAATTTTCATGTGTGCCATTTAACATCAAGGGCATGTTAGTGTATGTTTTGTCTATAGTCTATGCTAGCATAAATTGAAATAAAATGTAAAGTATTCTGCTTTTACGAAAAGCTTTTTATATTGACAAGTACATAAAAACTAAGAACAAGATAAAATGATTAAAGCAAATTTTTACAAATTTATTCCATCGCTAAAATGTCACTAAGTTTTCAGTTTGGCCATGAGACAAGATTACAACAACAAAAAATTGATTTGAAGTTAGTCTAAAGTTGTGGAATAACTCTCATAGTAGATGGGAACTTATTTTCTGATAATGCCGCACCTATTTTCACATTCCTCCAGTGTGTCGAATTTGTTGCTGTTGCCTCCACAACCTCCGTAGATAAATGGCTGGCAGTTATGGGTGGTTGTGTCGAAGTAGTATTGCTCCAAATACAGCTTGCATTGTCCCGGCTCAGGGGCGAGTGTACAGTCAACGGGGGTGGGGGCTGAGAATACATATGAACATGTCCAAAAAAATATAATAGCAGAAGTGGAAACTCTAGATAATATAGGGAGGTGCGAAGTTGATTTAATAAACCAAAATTTGTGACTTTAAAAACGGGTTTGGTGACTTGAAACTTAATGCACTTGTATTTATGACTAGTAAAAAAGTGAAGTACGCTGTCCATTGGGGCAGATGTACTTGAGTTCACCTGTTTCTGTGGCCTTGGCATATGAAGGGATATTGTAATCAACACTATGCCCAGCCGCTTTAGCTTTCCCTAACGTGAGTTAGTTACCCATCAGAGCTGGGGCGCTCTAGTGACTTAAACCCGGATTCAAACTCGAGACTTTCGGGTTAGCAGGCGAGCGCTCTGCCGGTAGGCCGTGCCGTTCCCAAGTTAAAAAATAACTAAAATAAGCAAACATATTTAAAATAATTTTTTATAATTTTGACATTATTTCGTTACTGATAGTACAACTATAAAACGCTCTAATTTTAATATGCTGCTTATTTAATTAAAATGTGTGTTTTCTACCCATTACCTTAGCCAAAATGGAGAATCTACATATATAAATATACAGTAGGTTGCCTTGTTGTATACATAAAGTAATATTCTCTTTGCTTTAAAAGTTGCGTGCTGTTGGCAACAAGTGAACACTGTTCAAATCAATTAATAATGACTGCTGTATGATTTAAAGTGCTGCTAATAACTTGTGTAGAGCAAGATTTTTTTTTAAACAACGCTTTCAATTCTGAAACCTAGGTGATCAACCTAAGGTAAATATAAGACTTCTAAGATATCCCTTCCACTGTGTGTGTAAAAGAAAAGAGAGCTTTACGGAAAACAAAATCGACTTACTAGTCTGTTGAAGAGACAGCTGGATAAACAGCATGGCGAACAGGCAGATGGCGAGTTTGGTCATCATGATGCTGGTTGTGTTGGCTGAGGTCACGTGAAGACGTCGGTGCTGTGGTGCAGAAGGTACCGTCTGTGGTCAACACGTCCGGCTTTTATAGCCAAAACTTTCAGGAGCAGTGGTGACGTTGTTTTAACCAGGTCTCATCTTTTATTCATGAAACAAAAACATTTTTGTCCAGATTTTCCCTACCACTTATTCTTGTTGTATTTTATCAGTTGATGTAACAAAAAAACTGTTATCTAAAATTAAAATATGATAATTTCATTCAAGTGTTTTCGGTGATTTTAAATTGTAATACAATTACTTTATATCGGTGTTGTAAAAATCAAATATTCTGTCTGAATTATGTGTTTATGTACCTTTTATGTTAGAGTTAGACCAGGGGTTCCCAACCGCGTGCCCGCGGGCGCCATGGCGCCCGCCGAACGATTCGTATGTGCCCGCCTCTCACTATTCGACAGAGACAGAATTTTTTTCATAAACATTATTGAAAGGTTGAAGGGGATGGAAATAGAAAGTTTGAGGGGGGAGGGGGTGCAAATCAAAAATTTGAGGGGGGTGCAAATCGAAAGTTTGAGGGGGGTGCATATCGAAAGTTTGAGGGGGGGGTGCAAATCGAAAGTTTTGTCCTCGGGTGACGGGAAGGGTCGATACGCCTCTGGAAGGAGTTTGTCGATTTAAAATAGGCGGTGCCCGCCACCCTACCGATATTTTAGAATGTGCTCTAGAGTAAAAAAAAAGGTTGGGAACCCCTGAGTTAGACCATACTTTTGAAAAGTGAGAATATATTTTGTTTATTTGTTTTCTTGATGTCTAGGGTTTTTCAACATTCAAGTAATTTTAATTTTGTATTGACAATGATGTTAGCCTTTTTTGAAAACTACAAGCTAGAAACTCACAGCAAAATATTACAACTTCTCCTTTGATTCAAAAATTATAAAAATATAAGGGTAAGTAAAGGCGGCTGGGCATAGTGCTGACCACACTATCCCTTCATATTTCATATGCTCTACTTCACTTGCCCAGTAGACCGTCATGTTTGAAAGGGAACTTTACTTACTATTTTTCTACTATAGTACGACCTTGTTGAACGTTAGAGTTTACTATAGCGAAGCTGGAAATCTTAATGTTCAAATCCGGGTTCTAGTCCGTACAACGTCTATAAACGCACCCACCTATGATGGTACTCGACTCCCACCCCCCCCCCCCCCACCCCCCACCAAAAAGACTAGACCATGACATTCAGACAAGAAAGCAAACGGTTTCTGTAAAAGAGATAATTGTTTCCTCTTGGTAATATATAAGTATCATTTAACTTGTGACTGCTGAAATGGAAATTACTCATCAATGTTTTGGAAAATATCTATCAGGTTCAACACGTCTTATGTTCGCCGTATTTTCTCTCGACGGCTATCTATCTCAGAAGGCATGAAGAAGGATAAGTTAGAAGATGTTGAGGAGAAGACTGACGGAGAAGTGGGGGAGTGCTGAGAGTATCAAAAGTTAGAGAGGTACGAAGGGTAGAAGCTTGGTTGAAAAAGGATGTTGGGGAGGTCGGGATGATAACAGAGGGGTGAAGTGACGACTTTCTACTATATAGAGTTTGAACTTGTAATACACAAAGACGTGAGAGCTTTTCCTCAATTTACATTTCGATTTTTAAGAGGACCGACGCAATTGGCAAAACAAAACACCCACACGGTGCAAATTGCCACAGAATTTGTTCTGTCTCTATCCCTCATACCGATGGTGACGTTAATCCTTATCCGAACTTAAACATAAAACCTTAGAACCCTAACTAAACAGCAATGATGACAGAATTAACTTCATAAAAATTTACTTACATCTATCTACAATACAACCCATACACCTGGCTACGGGACCTTAAAGCTGAAACTTCAAAGATGAGCTTCGCCTGGATTCATGTTTTTGAAAATGGCATAGGACAGATCACTTTGGAGCTTTTTGTTGGGGGTCAATACACCAGGGGGCAGTTAAATAATCACAATACAAAATCTGGGGGGGGGGGGGGGAGTTACTGTGAATATTTTGCTTTGAAATTTAAGAATCATTTATACATTTCGATACATGTTCTTTAATAGCTAAATCATAATACACTACTGTATTTTTTTAGTTTAACTGGTCGAGTGAAGCAAATAAAAAAAATCTACAGAAGGCTGTAATAAAGACTATAAAAGTGTATGAATTAATTAGCTTCTAGAGAATGACTCTGTGTGAAAAAAAATTTCATTTTAATTATAAATTTTACCACAATATCATTTTTGAAAGAAAATTTATAATCATAAATTAAATTTATAAATTCTAATATCCCTATCCCAAGACGTCACGAAGAGAGTTGAGAAAGATCATAAAACTTTTTGCCATTTATTTATTTTAATCCGGCCGTTCCATTTACAACCTTGACATAATAATTATACAGTTGATAAGGTTTAACGTGTCTACACTCATCTATAATATAAGCGGGCTGTGTCTGTCCTTCCGTCCGTCATCGCTATAGATTTTGGGACTATAAAAGTAAGCAATGCACCATGCTGTGCTTTTCAGTGCACCACAGTGTCTAATTATAGATAATAGAGTAGGGTTTGTTTATATAACGGCATAGAGCTATTTTATAATTTCCACTGTTTGTACAATTTTGCATAACGTAAAGAGAATATTAAATACACGCACATTGCTAAAACATATTAAAAGGATCAATGTCAAATATTGTTTTCTTTAATATTCCTTGAAAGAGTGGATACATATTAATAACATAATAACAGTACGGTAGAAAAATCTAATTAAACTGCTTAGCAATTTTGCCAATGGAGGTAATTCAAAGATAAATTGAACTCACGCTAAAAATGTGAATGCAAAATCTGCAAGACGGAATAATTGTTGAAATAATATAATTAGCAAAATGTGAATGCAAATTATGCAGACGTGTAAGAGTACATTATTGTTGGAATATTATTATTAGCATTGATTAATAAAAGGCTATCTTTTATTTATTTTATTCAATGAATGTACTGTTTACTAATTATAATTTTTAATCAACTACTCTCCATTACTATATTAAGTCATCACGTTCATTAGGTGCGCAATGGTTTTAGTCATGAAACTTTATTGTAAATTTTTAAAAGTACTGAAAAAAATGCATGAATTTATAAAGTGCAATATGGTCGGTAAAACACGGATATTCTAAATACTGCCTTTAATTTATTTGCGGAAAAGCTAGGGGTTTTATAACAGAGGCGTAACAAGAGGGGGGGGGGGGAGGGTGGAAATCGAAAGTTTGAGGGAGGTGGGAGGGTGTAAATCGGAATTATCCGCCGGCGCTCGGAAAGGGCGCGATTTGGCGCTACGGGATAGACTGTGAGCAATATGCCTTTATGATTACATTTAAATTGAGTTTATGTTGAGTGTTGTGTTTGTTTTTTCGTTTTTGTTTTTTCTTTGCGTTCGTTTGTGTTGTATTTAGTTTTGTTCTGTTCCCAACTTGGTACATTTTAAAAAGATTTACCGTGTGTTGTGGTTGTGGTTGTGTTGTGTTGTGGTTGTGGTTGTGTTGTGTTTGTGGTTGTGTTGTGGTTGTTTTGTGGTTGTGTTGTGGTTGTGTTGTGGTTGTGTTGTGATTGTGTTGTGGTTGTAATGTGGTTTGTTGTGGTTGTGTTTTGTTTGTGTTTGTGTTGTGTTTTTGTTTGTTTTGTTCTGTTCCAAAGTTGGTATATTTTAAAAAGATTTACCGTGGCGGAGCACGGGATGCAGCTAGTTTAAATATGTATGTGTGTGTGTTGTGTGTGTGCATGAGCGCGTGTCTGTGTGCATGTGCGTGTGCGTACGTTTGTGCGTGTATGTGTGTGCGTACGTTTGTGCGTGTGTGTGTGTATGTGTGTGTCTGTGTGTGTATGTGTGTGTGTGCCTGTGTGGATGAGCGTTTGATATTTAGTGTGGCTGTATGCATGTGTGTGAAAATATATCAATGCGTTTTATATGCGTTTGTGTGCATGTGAGTGTGTGTTGTTTATGTGTCAAGCTCATTAGCCCAGGTTCGTAACCACATGTTCATAGGCTTACGTTCATGTCCCGACATACAAGCAACATATAGGGTGGGACCAATATTTATTGTGTCACCAATATTTGGCGTGACATAAATTTTAATGTGACATCAACGTTTATCGTGAAAACACCATGTTATGCAACACTCTCTCAAACGTTTTAACACTACGCACCGCATAACACCAAAATATAGCAATACACCAACACTTAGTGTGCCACCATCATATTGTGCAACACCCGCTTATAACGTTTTTAACACCACAAACCAGCATTATATACAACAACATATAATTATAACTAAAAAAACAAGAACCACTCCATATGTATGTTTACGCTTACAGCCAAATAGAATGCACAAATCAACACTTTACTAAGCTTATTTTCGGCTTTCAAAAAGCGACTTTTCATGCATGGTGTAGTGGAAAGATCTTGTTGGATGTACAGCAATAAACTTGTGATCACCTATGTTAGACATTGTTTTTTAATGGACCATAGTCTGTGTAACAGGTCTTGACAACACTGAAAGTTATAGCTTACTTTTATGAATTATTCATCAAATCTACCTATACAAACCTAAACACAACAATGTATTTCCACTCCCCCGTCGATCTTTATATCTTGGTATTTTAACAGGTGTGGCAAGAAAACTTTGGGCATTAACAATCCAGTAGTTGCCCAGTTTGTGTGTATGTTTGATTGAGGTTTTTTTGTTGTTTTTCTTTTTCATTTTTTTGTGCTTTAGTTGCAATGGTGGTACGGTTCAGTTGTTACTTTCTTTTAATAATAACTTTTTAATTTTAATTTTTTTATTAAGAAAGGAAGCACTTGATCCATGCAGATCAATCAATCAATCAATATGTTAACTCTAAGAGGTCGTTGGGGCACCGCAGTTGATTTTCCTCTTATATTTTCTGCCATCTTTTTCGGTCCACTTCTGATCTAAGTACTTCTACAACGGCAGCCCCGTCTAATCTTGGATGTCATCCATCCACCGCAGATAGACACAGAAAAAAACAAGAGAGAGAACATAAGCTACAACATTCTCTTTCTTTAGCCACCCTCTTCGGGGCTACAAATGTTTAGATATGTGGATCTTGAATACAGAGCTCTGTCCCCTAATATTTTAGGAGTCGCAGGGGTCATAATTTCAATTACATTGCTCACACTAGGGGATCGGCGTGGTCGAGTCGGTAAAGCTCATGGTTGCTAAACTGAAAAGTTTTGAGTTCGAACGCTCGGGTAGATGAGTCCCGTCAGCTAGTACTCCAAAATCAAACAACTGCTAACGTGTAGTTTGTTCTTGGCTGGACAAAAGGTATGGAAGCAAATCCAAAAAGAAAAGCAGGCTGAAATGGGAGTCAATTGCCTCAATGTCACATAACCAGCTGACACGTATACTTAATTGTGTTGGAGGGAATCTCTTCCAACACACTAAAATTAAGAACGATGAAGAAGAACTACAGTTGCTCACACTATAAATCCAAAATATAATTATGCCGTAATACTTGTGTATAATGGCATCAGTTGTATTTGACATCTCTGTACTGTTTTAGCTATACTTGACCCGTATGTCATCAGATGTATTTAACATCGATGCTTGCCGCCAGTTGTGATGGAGGTTTAAATATATTTATCACATGTTTCTCAAATATGTATGCTTTTTACTGTGTCTTACATATGTGTATATCATCAGCTGAGCTTTATATTTATAAATAGCACGAGCTGTAATATGACGCCGCTGTTTGTTTAGTAGTGATCATAATATAATCAGCTGTGTTAAACATCAACCGTTTTATTTCCTGACCTGTCTTCAAATATACAAATTTTAACGACACCGTGTGACTACTACAGGTTAAGATACTTCTTGTCCTTATTGGCTTAACAAAATAAAAAATGAATTGTTCTCTTATAATATCTCTGGTCATCTGCTTCGTAAAAGTAAAGTTTAAATTAGCGATCCGTTAAGCAGATTAAGTAGAGATCCTATCTTTCTTGACCTTGAAGGAATAATGTGGTCAACACTACTCCCAGTCGCCTTTACTTTTCCTAATGTGAGTTAGGTACCCATTAGAACTGGGTGGACTCTGGGACGTTCAACTAACTTTAACCCGGATTCGTACTCAAGACTTTCGGGATGGCAGTCTAGCGCTCTACAGTTAGGCCACGCCTTCACCAACTAGTACTAGATTCACGTAATATTAATACGGTGGGGGGGGGGGGAATTTTCCTCATACGTTACCAGCTCAATCTTTAAATAATGAGGCACTTTTATTAACCACATGAAAATGTACGTCATCAAATACCGGTATCATAAAAATTAAATTTTTCGTTTGTATGCCGACATTCTAAAATACAGCTTGCTACTGTGTTTAAAATGTAAAGGTTGTATAATTCGAATACTTTGGTATCAATTAATTTCGAAATGAAATAAAACATGGAAATACAACGACATTACATTGATGTGTACAAAAAGGAAAACAAAAGATGATATGATTACATTTCAACAGACTTTAATCATTTATTACAGTTTCAATATTTTTTCAGAATTAAAAGATGCGGCCCAAACAATATTTTTTCCATAAATCCTAAATCAGTTTGTAAATGATGGGGACAGACTTGTTATTTTCTAGCTGGTTTACAGAGGGCCTGGCAATCTTCAACAGTGAGGAAGTTGTTAGAGTTGCCGCCACATCCGCCATAGAAAAACTCAGCGCAAGTACCGCTGACTGGGTCGTAGTAGAATCGTGGAAACACACCTCTGCATGATCCGGCGTCTGGTGCTTGGGAGCAGATCTCAGTGGCTGGGGCTGAATAGAGCACATGAGAAACATTCTTAAAATAGCAGACCTCAACTTTTCGGGTAAACCACATTTACAAAGTCGAGAAACAAAATGTGTTATGTACGCGGCCAATCTATCATAATTTAAAGTAGATATAACATAATTTCAAATACAAAGCCTAAACTTATAAGGGATATATTAGAAGCATGCTTCATCCTTATATTATTAGTCCGAAGTAGAAACACATAACATAACGTTATTTAAGTTTTCTTTTATAGCTGAAATTTAAAATAATGGATCAAATAATAAGTTATTTAGTCTCTAAAACCTCCTGATTTAACTCTTAATAAATACTATCCGAAAGAACGACATTATGAACGAAGTAAAAGCTTAAACGACGCTATATTTTTTAAGTGATTCACTTAACCAGTGCAGTAAAATAGACTTACTAGTCTGTTGAAGAGACAGCTGGATAAACAGCATGGCGAACAGGCAGATGGCGAGTTTGGTCATCATGATGCTGGTTGTGTTGGCTGAGGTCACGTGAAGACGTCGGTGCTGTGGTGCAGAAGGTACCGTCTGTGGTCAACACGTCCGGCTTTTATAGCCAAAACTTTCAGGAGCAGCGGTGACGTTGTTTTAGCCAGGTCTCATCTTTTATTCATGAACACAAAAAATGTAACTTTGTTATGCGCCACGTGATAAGTACGTGTTATTATGTTGTAAAATTTAAAACTAATACAGTGAATAAGCGAATTAAGATTTTAAGTTCTGTAGTAGGCACAACTGTGTTCTTTATGACTTCAGTAGATAGCTGTAAAACTAGATTTTTTTTTCTTTTGAAGACCTAATCATTTAAATTACGGGCCTTGAGAGGTCCATAAATGACGTCAAGCTATTTTAGCTGACGTTTACCCAATCTTTATCAACACAAAAAGCAAATTTTCTTTCACCACGCCTTAAATACAAATGTTTCACAAAAACAACTTTCTTATCTTTTCATTTTGTATCGATAGTCTGGATGTGAGATGCATCTCAATTTAAACATAGTACAGAAATGTACGAGACTTGAAAGAATATGTGAAAGCACACAAACAGGACAGTAAAATTGCGTGTGAAATGAGGTCTTCATAGGTTAAAAAAAACTAACCAATTGAGTTTATGGGACAAATTTTCTGCATTTTTGTATTGGTGTTATCATTACCTTGTTGAAATAAACCGGGATTGATCTCCCCTAAACGTTCTCGAATATTCCTATATAAAACAACAGGGGATAGGAACTCCATTTTAAATACTTAAACTTTTTAAAATAGAATAAAATCTCGTAGAAAAAGAATTGCACACCAAGTGAACGCCAACTAAAGATGTACATAATAGTGCGCAATATTATTAGTACTTCAGAAATTTACATGCGTTTTTTTTGAGAAATCGGAAGTAGCGTAAATTACTACTTTCGGTCAATGGAAATTACTCAAAATTTGACAGAAGGTAGAGATATAGATCTTTTACTTACATGTGAAATTTCATTCATCTATCTGAAATAGTACTGAAATAGTACAGGCTTTTGATTCAAAGTAGAAAAATTCAAAGTAGAAAAAGTACCTCTTCCGGTTATTGAAAATCTCTCAAAAGTTGATACGGATCTACGATTTTGATAAAATACTTATATATGAAATTTCATCAACCTAGCTGTAACGGTACTCAAGTTATCGTGTTTACACACAGACAGGCAGACACACACACACACACACAGACATACGGACAAGATTGCAAAATTATGTTTTTCCGTATCAGTGAGGTGTAAAACGTCTAGATTTGTCAAAATCTATTTTTGTTTTGCCCGATTACATGACTTTCTCTATACTTTGTATATACGAGAAAGTAAAAAAGAGTAGAAATGGATTTCAACAACTCACTTATCAGCTATTTCAGGTACTAATTACATCCCTTTTTTCCAATGGCTAAACAATTAGTAACTTTGTTTACTTAAAATGGCATGGTACATTATTTAACAACCTCTTAGCTACTTTGTTGTTAAAAGTAGCACAAGGGTCAAAAATGTAAAGCTGCACCAATAATTCATCCTTTTTATTTTTCCTTTGTGTCCCTTGGGGAGCAAAGGGTTAAAATTACGCATCTCCACCTCGGGTTTGGGCAGCTCCCAGTAGCGTACGCAGGGGGGGAGCAGGGGGAGCTTCCGCCCCCCCCCCCCCCTCTGGCTATTTTCAGCAAAGTGGCGTCTTTTTGGAAACTTTTTAAACTCAAAATTTTAAACAATGATATTTGTTAAAAAAATATTTTTGTTCGGCACATCTATGTAAATCACAAGATTTCTTTTCATTCAGCAATTAAGCATTATTGTACTAGTCTAGTAGTGTCTGCGTTTACAACACTTATTAACAGCTGCATCAGCTTGCCATTCTAAAAATAACCATTACGATGCATTGCAGTGTTTAAAAAACCTCTACGGGTAGTACCACTTGGCAAGAGGGGTGTTAAGTTTAAGGCAACTGTATAATGTATTTGCTTACGAATAATAGAATTAGAAAATGTTATACATAAAACTTCACACATAATTACTTTATATATACAGTTTGAATCGTGCGATTAATTTTTAAAAATTACAATACAGAAACAAATATAACTGATGTGGCACCTCTATTTAAATTTACTTATGAGCAAACTGCGTAGTGGTGGGGAAATTTTGACAAGGTCAAAAACGCCATCACGATGAAGTAGTAGTATTCTTACAGTTTGGGCGATAGCGATTACGATTACAAATTATATGAAACAGTTACAACGCCCCTCCCCCATGGACCCCTCTGTAAAAACAAAATATTGTCATAATACCACTGCTACTTATTTTAATCTATTTCTATAATATATATTTGTGTAATATATATGTATGTTTAGAACAGTCATCTAAAACTGACGTTATGTTCACTCTGAGTTGGTTATCTCCCCCTCCCCCCCCCCACACACACACACACCTCACCACCACAATTGTGTAGAGCGACATTAATGTCACACCTAGGTATACACTGGGTTGGATAATTGACCTAAAGTGAACGGACAGTGGTGAATGAAGTTGAAACCACCCCCCCCCCCTGATCTGTTAAGTACAAGTAAAAAAACGCGTAATGATGTACCAAAGTACCATGCCGCCAGAAAATTAGCTTTTTAAACGTAAAACTCTGTGAATATTGTTTTTGCAATTACCAGAAAAAAGGTGTGTGATCAATACAGTGCTCTAACCCATACCTATTACTATGTTAAAAAATGATCTTTAAAGAACACTTAGAAGCAGTAGTTAATTAAAAATATATGATCTGAACTTAAAGACAGATATGTAGTTAAATGTAGGCTGTTAATCCGAATGTTTTTCTATTATTTCGAAAAGCGTGGTTTTATACCAACTCTGATTTTAAAAACTTTCACTATGCTGTAATACTTTAGCATTGATGATGACGATATATTAAATTTTGATTATAGACAAAAACATTTTGTAAACACGAATAGTGTTAAACAATTTCATTATATGCTAAAGTAATTATTTATTTGTTTTGACATTTATAATTAAATGTGTAGATATATACATTATTATTTTAAGAGAGTGATTATTTCCCCTATTTCACTTGTCTTAAATAATTTCAGAGGAATTATTATTAAGAATTTTTTTTTTACAAGAATTACAAAACAGATTATGTTACGTTCATTGTTTTTGGTTGTAGTGTGTGTATATATATTTTTTTTTGTTTAGATTGATACAATTTTTGTTTTGTCGACCTACATTGTGCGGTTCAAAGTCGGCACGTGGGTCAAGACATGAAAACAATGCAATCTGACATTAAATCTCACTTAATTGGAAGCCTAATTCATTTTTTATGAATTAATTAAAATTTAGACCAAATTAGTAGGCAGTCTTATCCAACTATTCTGCACTATTATACACGCGTCATCACGTTCGTTCAGTGCGCAATGGTTTTTAGTCATGCAAATCTATTGTAAATCTTTAAAAAATTTAAAGTACTGAAAAAAGTTCATAAAAAACGTTATATGTTATAGCTTATATGTAACAATGCACTAATAATGCATTACACCTAAAAAGTAGAAACTAAACTATACACTACTATTTAAATAACTAAAAAGAAAATCGTGGATCTCTTCCTAAATATTAGTAAAGATACCCAATAGATACTAAAGTGACCCACAATTTTCTTTATAGTTATTTAAATAGAAGTGTATAATTTATTTTCTACTTTTTAGTGCATTAGTACATAAAAGCTTGTCATTAAAACGTTTTTTATGATTTTTTTTTATTTTATCTATATACTACTAAAACTCAGGTTTGTTTACATGTTTAAATATTTATTTATTTGTTTGTTTTTTGTTTATTTATTTTTTTGTCCATGTGGTTACAGGAGATGATCTGCACTATGTGTAGACCTGTAAAATAGTATTTAGGTAGAGAACAATTTTATTTTTTAAAACTAACTGTTAATCACATTTTTTTTAAAGACGTTAATTAATTTATTCATTTATTCATTGGTAGATTAACCACATTAATTTTAAAAGTTCAGAACAATGAATTTACTTATAGTGACGTCACATGATTTTTTTACAGCAATAATGGCGGCTTCTATTGAATATTTTGTTGCCCATTCAAAAGTTTGACGCATTATAATGTTAATTTTCTGTCGGCTGTAGCTTTAAAGATACGTCAGTTTCCTTTTTTTTATTACGTTCCAACACTAATATCAATTTTCAACATTCATTTTCATTTAAGTATACAATAAATTTCTCTTGATCTAGACTCTAGAGTCTAAAGATCAGCTGTCGAAGGAAGTAATAGAACTGGGATTTAGGTCAAACCAAAATTAATTAGTTAAAAATAAAAACCATTATAAAATCACAATAAATTATTGAGTTTCTTTATTAAACTATTATTTTAGACCTTAAATATTTGATACAAATCTTTGCTTTTTAGCTTCAAGGATAAGCTAATTCAAGAATACAAGTGATTTATCTAAGCCATAATATCACTTGACATTGATTAGTTTAATATGTTTTTGCAATGCGTCTGAATTTAATGTTTTCTTCATGTTCTTATGTTTACGAATGAAAAAGAGGAGAAACTATCAAATAATTTAATGCGTTACTTAAATAGACCTTACTCCATAACTTGTTGTACTACGACAATACGAGATTTTGATAAATTTGGATTTAGAATTTTTGCCCGATTAAAATAAGTCCCCTATACTCCGTAAATGATGAAATAATAAGGTTTAAAAAGATGAAACTGTCAAAATTTCATGTGATTTTGTGCACGATTACAATACTTTCTCCAAACTCTATATATGAGAAAGTATATTATATGATCAATATATACGATAGTTTTTTAACCTTGAGACCTCTACAAAGTATAGTTTTTTTCAAGAGGGCAGCCGTTGCCCTGGCAAGCATATTTTTAGAAGAGCCCCTGATACCTTCAACTTTTTTTTTCCTTTAAAGTACCCTAACTTAGATACACACAGATAAATGTTTTTTTAAAAAGGCTTATTAACTAAGAAGTTTTGTTTAAGGGTATTTCCCGGAGCCTACACCCTTAAGGTACGACAGGGCTCCCATCAACAATGTGGAGAAAATTCTTACTTTTTTCAACCTTTTTGCTGTTTCCTAAACAGCCCCCGTGGATAATCCCTTTATAATAAACATTAGACTGGTTGAAGCAGCGCATCGGCGTGTAGGCTTCACATAGCCCAGGGTCTAGTCCAACCGTGGGGAGAGGGTCGAACTTAACTGCATTGATCGATCATTGTTATGATCGTGATTACACAATTACATCCGCATTTTTGTTATCCTGAATTATAAGGTCACCTATAGATACTATAAAGGAAAAGTCATTGTAAGAATATAGGCTTCCGGAAATTTATCTTTTCATAAGGATAATAGTTTTGAATACTAGCAAAATTTGCTTTAGTATCCTTTGGCATCAACTGCTTGTCAGTGTTTTGTTTTGTTTTTGTTTTTGTTTTTTTTTTTTGTTTTTTTTTTTTGTTAATATTAACACAAATCTAAATTTTTAAAAAAATTTTACATTTAAAAAAAATTAAATTTTGTATTGCCAAGTAAAAGAAAACTATGAAAACAAAAAATAAACATTTAAGTTTTAAGTAGTTTATTACATAGCTAAAAGTTCACAACAATTTTCAGTTTGGCCGTGGAGAAAACATTACAACAAAAGAAACTAAATAATTTGGATCCGTTGTTTGCCTAATATTGTAGAATAACTCTCTGGGAAAAGAGGAACTTTTTATTTGTGAATTATGCCGCACCTATTTTCACATTCCTCCAGTGTGTCGAATTTGTTGCTGTTGCCTCCACAACCTCCGTAGATAAATGGCTGGCAGTTATGGGTGGTCGTGTCGAAGTAGTATTGCTCCACATACAGCTTGCATTGCCCCGGCTCTGGGGCGAGGGTACAGTCAACGGGGGTTGGAGCTGTAAAACACATAAGAACAAGTCCAAGAACATAGTAGAAGTGAACAGCCTCGACGTACGAAATCCATCAACCAAAATGTTGTGACACTACTCGATTCATGAAACTTAAATCATTTGTATTTATAAAAAAAATAATTAATAACATTTTTTTTAAATAAAAGCAGGATACATATTTTAAATATTTATATTTTTGACATTTTTTGTTTACCACCTGTACATCTATAAAACATCAACTTCAACGTCAACAACATCGTCAACGTCAGTATAAATGAAAACCGAAACGTAAACGCAAACGCAAATTCAAATGGAAACGCAAATGTTAACTTTAACATCAACATAAACCCTAACCACCCTCACCACAACCTCGACAAAGGTAAACATAAACGTAAAAATAAATTTAAGCATAAACTTAAACATAAACGTAAACATAAACGTAAACATAAACGTAAACATAAACGTAAAAAAACTTAAACGTAAAGATAAAGGTAACGGTAAGCGTAAATGTAAGCATACACATACACATACACTTAAACGTAAAAATAAGCATAAACATTAAAAAAAACAGGTGAATATACAGCAGGTAAAATCGACTTACTAGTCTGTTGAAGAGACAGCTGGATAAACAGCATGGCGAACAGGCAGATGGCGAGTTTGGTCATCATGATGCTGGTTGTGTTGGCTGAGGTCACGTGAAGACGTCGGTGCTGTGGTGCAGAAGGTACCGTCTGTGGTCAACACGTCCGGCTTTTATAGCCAAAACTTTCAGGAGCAGTGGTGACGTTGTTTTAGCCAGGTCTCATCTTTTATTCATGAACACGCAAAAATAGTCTATAAATCTGTAGTGCGTTGTAAAAATTTAAAACAAATACATCGAATCAAGGTATTTATTTATTCCGTGGAAGGTGCTACAACCCTTTACTGAACGTAATGATGGCCGTAAAACAAGAGTTTTCCTTCTTTCTTTTGTACAGATAATAATTTAACTCACGGGCCTTGAGTTGTTCAAATTATTCACGTAATAATTTTAGCCAGCCTTTTTTCCACACACTTAGCAAGATATCTATCAACACGCTTTTATAAATATCAGTTTTAACATAAAACAACTTTCTTTTCATTTATTTTTTTTTAGTTATAGTCTAAATTTAAATTGCATTTCAATTATTTAAATAAACTGCGAGACACAAAAAGAGTTTAAATAAATTTAATAAAAGAACGGACAGTCTAAAATCGCGCAGAAAAAAATTGCGACGTTAGTGCGTTTTCTTTCATTTGTCAAAAAAAAATCTAATTAATGAGAAATAATTTACTGCTTTTGTATTTTTGTGCCGTCATTTTCTTAAGAAAAGAGTATAAATAGTTTTCATAAACCCACTCGGCAGCAATTCCAAGTAATAATTAGATCCACTTTTTACTATGGCCAAACAATTAGTAGGTTTGTTTTTCTGATGTATGACAAAGTATCAACTTACTATCAACTTACTTTTTAGTTATTTCGTTGCTAAAATTATCACAACCGTTAAAAGATAAAGCGACTCGAATTCGGACTTCACTTTTAATCATTAGTAAACTGTACTTAGTGAGCCGTTTGTATTGAAAATTATAATTAAATTGTTTTTCAATTTTCTGTTTAAGTATAAAAAAAAATTTCTTATTAAATTTATTTATGTAGTATTACCATTGAATTTTTTTATGTCTGTATAAACTCTAAATAAGCATATACGTGACTCTCGGTATTTAAAATTTATGCCAAACTTCTAAATGTGTTGTATTGTGATCAAAATGTTCACAATAAATTATCAGGGGTGTATATTTATACCCACAATGGCTATTGTCTGATTGTAACCCAGAAAAATGTAAGTGAATATTGACCAAAAGCTGAGAATAAACAATATTATAATTTTTGCACCTTTAGCATGTTCAGAATGATTTCATAACACGTCTAGACGTTGACTAAGTTGTTCACATCTTGAGTTATATTAATGACACAACCTTCTCGACTTTAAATCGACATTTGATCTTTTGATGTGAAAAAACATTCTTCTTTTCCTTATTTTAAGAGGCATCGATTCTTTCATCCGTCATAATTCGAAACTTAACGGATTTTTTACTCACTTCTACGGAACCATTTTTTATTTCAAATTTAAAGCGGTCAGAATGTGATGCTTATCATTGCCTTTGATTTTACTAACATTAAGAGTTTTTACAAAATCCTTAAAAATGTTTAAAAATAACAAGCAATACACCAAAGAGAAAATATAATTATTTCCGTTTAATATAATAAAGTACCGCAATATGTATAAATATGAAAAAAAGCGTCAGTAGTTGATACAGTTTTAGAAAGGATATTCAATTGCTATAAATAATTATACTCCACTTTTAGTGATCGGCTATTTGAGTAACTTTTATAGCCCTATTTATAATTTGAGTTTTACCTACCAATATACAAACGCGTTCAATACACAAAATGAAAGCTTCCTATTATACGTGATTTAATAAGATTTTTCTTATATAGAACAGTTGATATGATAGACATTTTTTCGTCACAAGATATTTGGTTCAGCTCATAGAGATCACCCCTATGGTCCTCATTTCTATTAGTGCCTAAATGTCTGATTCTAGTGGGCCGTGTTTTATCTATAATAATAGTTTCGCTGTCTGCCTATCTATCTGTGTATCTATCTATGTATCTATCTATGTATGTGACAAGAACGCTATAGAGAAAACACAAGCAAATTAAAAACATGCATAGTAAAACGGAAACGAAATATGACGTCATATTTAGCATTTAGTAGAAAATAGTATCAAGCCGGAGAGTGCACACAGTAATATGACGTCATTGATTCTCGAGTAAACATTGAATAAAAAGGAAATTTTCTCTAATCTAAGTGGTTTGCGTGAAGAGTTTCATTCATACAATTCTTCGGGTAGGGGCGAAGCCCCACCCTCGCGAAAGAACGTCTAAGCCCCCCCCCCCCCCCAACTCAAAAGAAATTTCTTCATCCATACTCTATAAAAAAATTAACGCCTAATTAATGTGTCTAATCTAAAAAGTGGTGTGCTTGCAGTTTCTTTCATGCAATTCTTCGGGTAATGGCTAAGCGCGACACCACTGTTTCTTTCAGACTTTTTCCTCTTCGGAGGGGGGAACTTTTTCCAATCTAAATAGTGTTTAGCGTGCACAGTTTTTTTCATGCATCTCTTCCCCGCCCAGGTTCTTCCTTTAGTTTGTATGATCTACAAATGCGACCAGTGTCAGACTTTTTCCTCCCCGGCGAGGGGTGGGGGTACTTAAATTTTTTTTTGGGGGGGGGGGCGGGTTTAGAATTTTCTGGGAGGGTGCGGACACTGGAAAAAGTATATAATTATATTTCGTTGAATGGGACGGTAGGATTGTTTTGGGGTGTGTGGGAGGGGGGGGCGGAGCCACCTTCTCCCAAGTAGAGTTGCCTGAAAAAACTCTAAATGCAACTTTTGTCATGAATGAGATTAGGTGAATGAGTTCTTGATTTGTTTTAAATTTCGATTAATAATAGTCATATTTTCCAATACAACCTTTTCCCAGAGGAGTAGACATGCAATCACCTATAATAATATTGTGTGTAGCGCTTTGTTTTTTATGTATTGTTGCGATTTTTTTTTTAGAAAAGCTACTTTTATTTCAAAGCAAAGTGTTTTTAACATAGAATGGAACAATTTTGTAATTCAATAAGGTTTGCAAAATGTAACATGCTGTACGTTATAACGATATTGCTTGAACCATCAAACTTATGCAAGTTGTCTTTTAACGTGTCTTATTTTTGGAAGTCAGACTTTTGATGACTAACTTTTACATGGCGATTTTATGATAAGTTAGGTTTTATTTTTTAGTGGCCTTTTAATTTTATTGGCATTTTGACGTGTCGGCATTTTGTCTGGATCTCCATTCGCTGAGTTTAAAACATTTATGTTCCATTGGCGGTGTTTGGTGTCTCTGTATACTGTGTTTGACACCTCTAATGTAATCAGCTGTAATTAACACCAGATATTATTTTTACCTTTCTTCGGCACTCATTTTTACATGTGGAAGTGACCAAAGATCTTTTACATATTTCAACAACTAAAGCTTTTATTAAAGAAAGCAAATCAGTTTTATTTTCTTAATTTCAGTGCAGTTAAAAGCTTGATGCTATAAAGGTTTTTTATATTTGCTTTATTGAGTGTGTTTTTTGTTACCTACACTTGAATATTGAACATACCAATAGAATAAAATCTCAAAGCAAACAAAACATTATATTATTGAGGGAAGAAAACAGAAACAGATGATCGAATTAAATTTTTACAAATTTTATTAACTCATTCAAGTTTCAGAGCTTTTTTTTCAAAAACAAATGTGACCCAAAAATATTTTCAAGAATCCTAAATCAGTTTGTAAATGATGGGACAGACTTGTTATTTTCTAGCTGGTTTACAGAGGGCCTGGCAATCTTCAACAGTGAGGAAGTTGTTAGAGTTGCCGCCACATCCGCCATAGAAAAACTCGGCGCAAGTACCGCTGACTGGGTCGTAGTAGAATCGTGGAAACACACCTCTGCATGATCCGGCGTCTGGTGCTTGGGAGCAGATCTCAGTGGCTGGGGCTGAATAGAGCACATGAGAAACATTCTTAAAATAGCAGACCTCAACTTTTCAGGAAAACCACTTTCATCAAACGTAGTAATAAATGTGGCAGAATTTTAAGTAATGGATCTTAATATCTTATAAAGTAGATATCAAATAACTTGTTATTTAGTCTCTAAATCTTGCATATATTAACTTCCTAACACAACGTTTATGTAGGCCTAATGATACATAGTATGCGCGCTAATTTACAGTGGAAGACGAACAATTAAAAACAATTAAAACAAAAAAATAACGCATGGAACTTTTACAGGAAAGTGGTTCCAAAGATAAATTAATGGATTTGACCCTTTTTTCAAACAAATGTTAATAGAAAAAAATTCATATGTAGATTGTGGCTACGTGAAAATTAATTCGGCTTAGAAATCGTTGAAACATTCTTAAAATAGCAAAATTGAATGCTTCGAGAAAACCACATTTATAAAGAGGAGAAACAAAATGTGTGATGTAAGCGGCCAATGTGTCATAAATTAGAGTAGATGTAAAATATATAAAGTAGTATAATTTCAAATACAAAGCCTAAACTTATGAAGAATATGTTAGAAGCAAGCTTCATCCTTATATTATTCTTCCGAAATAGAAATATGACAATACGTTAAGTTTTCTTTTATAGTTGAATTTTTTTTTTAAATGGATCACATAAAATTGATATCAAATAATCGGTTCTTTAGTTTCTAAATCCTCCTAATTTATCTCTTAATAAATGCTAACAGAAAAAACGACATTATGAACGAAGTAAAAGCTTAAACGACGCTGTTTTTTAAGTGATTTACTTAATCAGTGCAATCACTATACGGCAAGTAAAATAGACTTACTAGTCTGTTGAACAGACAGCTGGATAAACAGCATGGCGAACAGGCAGATGGCGAATTTGGTCATCATGATGCTGGTTGTGTTGGCTGAGGTCACGTGAAGACGTCGGTGCTGTGGTGCAGAAGGTACCGTCTGTGGTCAACACGTCCGGCTTTTATAGCCAAAACTTTCAGGAGCAGTAGTGACGTTGTTTTAGCCGGGTCTCATCTTTTATTCATGAACAAAAAAATGTGTCTTTAACTCTGTAATGCGTCATGTGATAAGTACGTGTCATTATGTTGTAAAATGTAAAACTTAATTTTTTTCCCCGCCT